CCCTCTCCCTCTCGCTTCTGCTGCTGATATCTGTCATTTGGCCAGCATGGAGCCAAATGTGCTTCATTATGACATGGTCATGCAATCGAAGCCGCATTGTTTTACACACACTCACACACACACACACACACACACTATATCTCTGACAGGATTTGTGCCTTAATTGCATACATACTTTGCCCTTGCATACTTATGTGGCCACAACTTTACGTTCGCCTATGTTTTTGTAATCTATTTTGAATTTTAAGCCCCATAGGCTTACAGATTCCATCACAATCGATAATTTGACAGCTCCATTTGCCAGCATTTAAACACATTCCACATTGTGTAGCATTGTCTGTGGTCGGCCACCATTTGACTACTACTGTCCACTCGGTCTCGGGCTGAGCTCAAATATATCATGTTGCACGCACTCAATTTGTATTTGAGGAATGTGGCACTCACAGCACACAGCTTAATATATTATAGTTAAATAATTGTCAATGCCCTGACAAAATGTCGCTGTGCGAGGCGATAATTGATAGACGAGAAACATTGTCGAGTCTAAAAAGAGTTATCTATGCTATATCTATATAAAAGTAGTTGAAAGTTAAGAAATGAAGATGCAGCTTAAACAAATTGTAATATTTATATTTCATGAAATGAAGATGAAACTTAAGCAAATTGTAATATGTATATTCCATGCTAAGCTGTCGACTTTTAAAATATATTAATCTCAATCCTCTTCAGTCCTAAGTCTATTTGAATTTACTATATTGAAGATTTGTTAGCTCTATTTCTGTTATGCCTCTCGCAAAATATTTTTTTAAGAACTGTGTATGTCAAACCTTTCCTATATCTCTTCTATATCCAACCCCTTCTATATCTCCAATAATTTACCCTACATCTATCTATCAAATCTATCCTCAATCTTAAAAAAAGACCACAAGATTCCAGCCAATCAAATCGATTTGAGATAACCCATCGAGCTGCCACAAAAATGTCTTTAAATATATATACACTATGCACACATACATATATATGCACATATACATACTCTATAATTCATATCAAACAGAGCCATTCACATGTTTCCCTTTTGCAAATTTAATTAAGACTTCGCTGGAATCGCATGCAAGATATTAAACTGAAATTTGTTGCTACATATGCCGAATGTGTCGCTCTATGTGTGTGACCGTGTGTGTGTGTGTGTGTAAATGACAATGGCGCTTACAAACACTCATAAATCCTCGGCAAGTTCAGAGCTGCGCTGTCGTTCGTACAGATTCCGTTTTGTATAGTTCTCTCTTCAGCTCTGTTATTTTTTTTTCTGTGTCTCATTCTTTGGCTGTTTTTGTTCGCATAGTTTTTTATAGCATACTTATGTGGGACAGTCGAGCGAAATCCATTTCACTTATCCCATGCACTTTTATGGCTTTGGCCACCAAAAATTTTGCACATTAAAGCGAACTTTTTAACATGACATATGTAAGCCAGTCGCTGGCACTTCACACCACCTCCCCCCTCCCCACAACGTTGACAGCATTTGCGGTGGCACCCAGTGGCCAAACACACAAGTTGCACAAATACACATTTCATATTCATAGTCTGAGAGCTTAAAAGCAAAGAAATTAACTTCACAAAAGTTTGCACAAACGTTGAAAACGAGTCGACGACTCGACTCGACGAGTTGTCGATGCGACACACACGGCGTATGTGTAATATGTTGAATATGAAAATGTGTTAGATGTGTGCGTGTGTGTGTGTGTGCGTGTGCGTGTGTGTATACGCACACCCCTTGCACACACAAGGCCTACTCGAAATGTGCTTCAGCTCTCCACACTATTTTTGTGCTTAGTCGGCTCATCTGCATTTTATGGTCCAAAAATATCATCATCATTTTTTCGCATTTCATTATGTTCGCTCTCGCTCTCCCCTCTCTCGCTCTCGCTCCAACAGCTGAAAACTTAGCAGGCTCATTTAGTATGCTTCATTTCATTATATGGCTCAGTCCCAGTCCCATAGTCCGTTACTTTAAAAATAGGGAAGAAGAAGATGGGCAACGAAATATAAAAAAAATTCTTAACTTTCGCTGCAACCGCAAACATTTTGGGCCACATTTTGTGGGCAATCCTTCTGCCTGGCCTGGGCCGTCGACAAACGGTGCGAGAAATTGTCCTCTCGTCATTTTCTCCCCGTTTTTTTTATATATATATATATTGTTATATCTCTTCTTCTTTTTTTGTCGCTTCTGATGTCGCATGCAATTTTTTATTTTTTTTTTTGGTGTCCTGCGTAGCAAACTCCTTTGGGGTGTCCTGCCTGTCCTGACTGCCTGCCATTTGGCTCCTGCTAAGCTGCGCTCGCATACTCTCTCTCCCTCTCCCGCTCTACCTTCACTTGCTCCATCCCTTCGCGTCACTCACTCACTTTTTTCTCGTAATTTTCATAAGCAGCCGTTAGACGTTGGATTTATGTTTTTAAACGCCTTTTAATATGCGAGCGGATCTTCGCGCGCCCCAGCAGCAGCAAAGCACAAAAAAAAGGAGGAAAAGAGAAAGAAAAAGGAACAGAGCAAAGCAGAACACAAAGCCACTTGCAAATGCCGCATAGCCATCCTCGTTGTCCTAGTCGCCTGCCGCCGCATCCTTGTGCCGCCTCCTGCTCGACTGCGTGGCGTTCCGTTGCGTGGCATGGCGCAAATCCAGTGAGAATGCGTTTAAAAAAATATTATAATAATAACATTACGTAAATAATTGTTGGGTGCTGCCGTTCCCGCTGCCACAGGGCGTCGGGAGGCGTGGCAGGACGCGGGCAAATGGCAATGGCAACACGCGCCGCAGGAATAGCAACGGAAATCAGCTGCGTGTTGATAAGCAAAGCGCTGCCAACGAGCCCTCCAGGACAGCGCGAGGGAGACAGCGACTAGGCGAGAGACCGAGCGAGCGAGAGAGAGAGAGAGAGAGCGAGTGGGAGAGAGGGACAGTAAGCAGGCGCTGCCTACGGCTGGGTCCTGCTCTGCTCAGGGCTTTCGCACTTGGTAAGCGATTGCGTGTGCCTGTTTCTGTCTATATGTCTATGTGGGTGTATGTGTACATGTATGTGTGTGTGTGTGTGCGTGTGTGTGTGTGACGTTTTGGGTGCGTATTATGGTGTACTTTGCGGTTAGTCGCAGAATCGCTGTGGCAAAATCGAAAAACTCCAACAAAGCCGCCTTAGCAAATACCCTTAGAATAATAACAGCTAAGCTGCTCCAAAGCGAATTATGTTTTCAGCAAAGGTTATTATTGGAGCCGAACCTTGTGCCGTGCCTAAACAAACAATGGCATGAGCAATTAATCCTTTATGTGCGCTTAACTTTTACGCCCTACGCCAGCTCGGCCACATAAGTTCTGCCATGTGAAACTTGTCAACGGTTTAGGCGCTTAGGACATGCTGAGTTGTGTTCTAAGAAGTTGTCAAGCCCAAGGAATCTGTTGAGCTCTCGAAAGTTTTCAGCTAATGCACAGACATTTTCAAAAACAGCCAGCTTACGTTAGGTGAAGCTTAAAAGTTGTTGAAAGTACAAGAATATATTCCATAATTATTTGCTGTCTATTTTTAGATCTAGAGTAAGGAAGAATGGTTGCTAAGGGCTGCTAATGCTAATGACGAAGATATTGAAAGGATCAAAAGAAGCTCCCTTACTAAAGGACTGGATTTTCTAGATATCTCTTTCTCAATATCTCTGTAATAACTTCTTTTTCATAATAAGCATCCTTCAGCAACTCCTTTTTCAATTTAATAATATCTTATTTTGTATTCATAGGTTCATCACATAAAAGATGACAGCTGTATCTTCGTATAACAAGAGAAGTTTCTTGTAAAATCTTCAAGAACTTCTTCTTCAGCACGCTCATTCATCAGCAACTCTCTCTCATTCCCTGTCTCTCTATCTCTATCTCTCTCACCCAGTTAAAGATGTAAGAGATCTTAAGAAACACTACTGAACTTGAGAGAGAATTACCAAATTATCTTTATTTTTATATAAGCATATAATGTAATATTATTTTTAATAGCACAATTTTCCATCATGTTAAATTCTCTAAACTGACTCATCTAGCTGCTTGCCTAACCTCTACTTCACATATTAACCTGGCTTTAATTTCGTTCTTCTCTTCCCACCCACTTCTCCTCCCCCTGCTCGCACTCAAAACTTAAAAAACCCCAAAAAAATTAAATGTATATGTATTTCCTCAAGGTTCTAGCTAAATTCCCAGAGGTACAAACACGTTACGCGTCATATGCAGCACTCGACACGCCTAACTCCTTCTGCAGCTTAGAGTATTTATTTTATTTTTTTTTTCGTGAAGGCAGCAGCAGCCGGGCAGAAAGGAAGAAAAAATGAAGCCGCTACATAGATGGGCGCACATTTGTAACTCTGTCTAACCGAGCGCAGTGGCAGGCAGCGAAATGTGCGTGTGGCATTTAGTAGGCAGCGGCTGTGACAGTGGCAGGGGCAGAGATAAAGATAGAGATGGTGGCAGCAGCAAGAGCAGCAGCAGGAGCAGGAGAACGTCCTAAACGGGCACACACACCCACGCACACCCACGCACACACACGCACAACCAATGCTGTCGAAATTTTGTTGTCATCATCACTTTGCTGGCATAGAAACAACTGAAGCTGATGGGCCGGATGGAGTGGGGGGCGGGACTCCAAGTGTGGGGCGTAGATGGAGTTGAGGCTGCCTGTCAGCCACAAAGTTATCTGCCTGCCAGTATTTTTTTTCGGTGGGCGGGTATTTAATGTTGTTGTTTTTGTTGTTGTAGCTGGCATCTTCCGTTTTTAATTTCATCTGCCATTTGCTGCTACTTATGACACATCCTTTGCCCAGACCAGGATGCGGCACATCCCCTCACCCTTCCCAAGCAAAACTCAAGTGCTCAAGCATTCGCACAGAAATATTATACACACATACATACATATAGAATTTTGTTGTTGTTGTTTTTTTTTTTGGTAATATTTCTGTGAGTACTTACCTTGGGATGTGCACGTCGCGGAAAAGCTACTTTCGGGTCCACCTGCAAGCAGAAAGAGAGAGAGAGAGTGAGTGAGTGAGTGAGTAAGTGAGAGGGGTAGAGCTGGAGCGTGCGTAGTGGAGAGTGTGAGGAAATCGTATGCTTAATGACATTTAAATGAAAAAGCATTTCGAGCAACTCTTCATATTAATAGCCAAGCATAAATCTTGCATAAGCCTGCATTGCGCATTAAGCAGGAATTACTCCTAGGGGAGGCCAGAGAGAGGTGACGGGGGGGAGGGGGGAGGTGCTGCGGTTGGTGTCATGCTGGTCTGTGTGGCAATGCTCAACTTGAAAGCTGAGCACGCACGAATTAACGCATAACAAATTGCGCGTCCAGAGTAGCTGCTCCTCCATGGGATGGAGAATGGCCCCCAGACCGCTCCGCCTCCTGCTGCGTCGACTGCCTCAATAAGCAGCGTCATTAAAAATAATTAAAAATCATAAAAATTCAATTTTAAGTGCTTTGCTGGTTCTCATTTTGGCCGCCCTGGCAGCATTCTTACTGACAGCCAACCGACGGTAAGCCACGACTGGGGGGAGCCTGTGGATCTGTGGCTTGGTCTTGCCACCCCTCCTTTCCGCCGCACTGTGGGATAAATCTTTTTGAAGTGACTCTGCGCTGCATTTAGCTGCAAGTGCTGGGCTAACTTAAGCCAATGCCGCAAATAAAATGGCAAATAAAATGAAGAGATATTGGCAGAGATAGCTGCAGTGAGTGCAAGACAAAGGGGAGCAGGAAGGTGGAGAGTGGGTGAGGGGGCGAGCGTGTGGCTGGACAGTGAAAGCAACGCAATATCCTCTGGCGATAATAATTCGCACGAAAATTGTCACAGGACAGCAGCAAATGGTGACAGGACGGCAGTTTGCCGTGTTGATTTCCTGTGTGCAGCACAAAAAACAACAACAACAGCAGCAACAGCAGTAACAGCAGCAACAGCATTTGTTGTGGGCGGGGTCGCTAGCCCAGCGGGAAATTGATTTTTAGATTAAAATTAAAACTAATCAGCGCTGAGTGGCAAACGTCGACGTCGACTTTTTGGAAAATACATCAGACCGAAAAAGCGTAACGAAATGAAATGAAATGAATTCGCATCGTTTTCAGTTTTCCGTGAGCTCTATGTGTGTGTGGGTGTGTGTATGTGTGTGTTGTGCAGCCAAACGGAAACACGAAACGCTGCACGACTGAGCCACACACACTTATGAGTCTGTGTGTTTGTGTGTGTGTTGCAGTTGGTTTTGGTAAATAAAAATAAAAAATAGAAAATAAAATAGAAAATAGAAAAGTGAAATACATATCCATATAAATGATGGCTGCGCATTTTATTTACAGTTGGCCAGCTGTGTTGCCATTAAAGAATGACCAACTGCAGACACACACACACACACACCAGCACAGCCGTGCAGCTAATTAAGCTAATGCCCATGCGGCGTATGCGTAATGTGAGCTGCCTTCAAGCACCAACTGCTGCTGTCTTCACCCATGCCAAATGCTAATCAAAATGAGCTGATCAATGACACTACAAATGAAGCGGATTACATAGTTAAGTGTGGACTAAACAGGTTGTGGATATATATATATATATATATATATATATATATATATATATATATATATATATATGTATATATATATATATATATATATATATATATATATATATATATATATATATATATTAAGA